CCCACCCTCTGGCTGCTGCATTAAGATCACCCCAGTGGGATCTGGTTTCTCATAGTGAAACATTCATCTGCAGCCATTGCCAGGACAGACTCACACTGGGGAACCCACTGCTGAATGCCAGGCGCAGCCACCACACAGGGCCTGGCTCTGCCCTGGCCAGCCACCACTGGCAGCTCAGCCCAGCAGTGCTCGGAGAGAGGAGAGCTCCCCAGGGAGTGGGCAGGATGATGGCCCCTGCGTACACCAGGGACACCAAGTGACACACGGCAGTAGCACAAGGAAGGCGGTGACATACACAGAGCACGTGCATCCTCAGGGCACAGCTGTCCCAGGGACTGCATCAAATCCATCCATAAGCACCCGTGGCACTGGGACCAGCTCTTGTCCTGGCTCACAGCTGGTCCCCTGCACTCATGGCATCACTGGGTGGGCAAGGAGGGCCTGCTCCATACCCTGCCACCCTGCCTGAAGCAGAGGCACTCCAGCAACAGTCCATACACATGGAGGTGATGGGGCCTGGGCTCCTCATCCTCCTCTTCTGGTCACAGCTTCCTGCGCTGCACCCCCACGCTGCCGACAGGGCTGGTAGGGAGGGTCACGGAGAAATGGGTCCCCAAAAGCTGTGTGCACCCCCACTATGTAACCCAATGGCCATGGAAGCCAAGACCAGGTCAGCCAGTGTGTGCCAGGGCCCAGATGTGCCAGGCTGCTCATCCTTACAGGCAAGGGTCTAGCACAGCCCCTGCCATGGCCATACAACTCTGCTCAGGGTAAAGAGGGGATATGACTCAGCCAAACAGCATCATCCCCCTCATCCATTCTGGGGGCACCGGTGCCGTCAGTGCAGGGAAACCTGCCTGCAGCACCAGGCTCATCCCTGCTCCTGTCACAGGGGCCTCTGCTGCTCCGGTTACCGGGACATGGGGTCTGGTGTTGGAGCAGGATCGGGCCTGCGGGATATTTGGGAAGGGAAAAGAAAAGCGATGCCAGCTTGCGAGCAGCAGCTCGTTCCCCTCCCCCACCCGCTAAAAATAACCGGCTCCTCGGGCCGCGCACCCACCCGCTGCCCACAGCGCGGGATCCCACGGGGGCTGAGGGATGACCCCACACAGGGAGCCTGCGACAGGGCGGCAGCGGCCCCGAGGCCCCAGCACGGTCGATGCCATCTTGCCCCTTCTGCCAGCCCGGGAGGGACACACACCAGCCCCCCGGCCCAACCCCACGAAGTTGCCTTTTCTCCAGCCCACGGAAGACAGGCGGCTCCGGCCCACATATGGACTGAGAACCTATTTATACCCTGCCGGTATCGGGGCTCGGGGAGCGATCCCACCGGGGGGGGGGGGGGGCGACATCCAGCCCCCCTCCTCCTCCTGCGGCGCCCGGGACCGGGCGGCCTCACGGACACGACAGCGAAGCGGAGAGCCCCAGCTGCTGGTGCCGCACAGGGGCCCGGGGGCGCGCCGGGCCGGAGGATTCGTGCACGGGCGGCCCGAGGCAGGCGGACACGGCCGGCCCGAGGGACTGGGGGGACCCTCCGTCACCACTTTTGCGAGGGGACCCGGCCTCGCCCCTCGGGGCTGCAGGGCCCCTCCGCCCCCGCTCACCGGGCTGCGCCGCTTCAGTGTCACGTTCTTCCAGAGCAGAAGATGGAGCTGATGCAGGAACCCCATGGTGTGGTCGGGCCGGCCCCGCCGAAGGGCCGCGCCGCGCTCAGCTCCGCGGTCACCCGCCGCCCACCGCCATCCCCTCCCCAGCCGGCGTCTACCGCTAGCCGTGGGTTGCGAGGAAGCGGAGCAGCCTCGGCCCAGGCCTGGCTCCGCCACACCCGCCCCGACCCTGCGCAGCACCAGCACCACCCCCGGCCCGCGGCGGCCGCCCCTTAAAGGCACCGCCGGACCCCCCCGCTCCGCCCGCACGGCGGCCCCGGCACAGCGCGGCCCGGGCCCGGTTCATCCCGGCAACAGTGGCCCCGGTGCTGACTGTACAGAGCGGGACTGCTGGCCCAGGGGCCGGGGAATCCTCGCTCCCCTCGAGCCGCCGCCCTCCCGCCCCTCAGCCGTACACAGATCACCTCCGCGCTTCTGCCCCTGGTGCTCCCCCAGCACAGGAAGGACTGGCCCGCGGCTGCGGGATCTGTGTACCGGGGTGCCACGGCTGTCCCTCCTCTTGGATGCTGCCCACCCTGCTCCTGCCTGACCTGTCCCATGGGCATGTGCTGGGGCATCCACGGGTGTTTTTGGAGGGACCAAACCTGCTGCCACATCTGTCTCGTGACAGCTCTGAACCCAGGGCTGGATGCCCTCAAGAGTAAGGACTGAAGCAGGCCAGCTCTCCTCCTTACTTCCATCCACTCTTCTTCTGTCCATCCATCCATCCATCCATCCATCCATCCATCGTTCCACCTTTTTCCTGCCATTCATCCATCCTTCCTCTTATCCATATTTCCTTACGTCCTCCCATCTATCCTTCCTTCCATCCTTCCTTCCATCTTTGCCTCTTTATTTTCCTCCTTCCTGCCATCTTTTCTTCTTTCCATCTGGCCTTGCCTCCATCCATTCCCCCATCCTTCTTTCCCTCCCTTTTCCTGTCCCTCTGGTTCTCTCCATTTCCCACCTGTCCCTCCCTCTTCCTGCTCTCACTCGGCCTTCTCTCCCCCTTCCCACTCCTTTCCTCCAGCTCTCTGTAACCATCTCATTCTCCATGTTCTTCATGGGCCAAGTGTAGCCAGGAGTGGTGAATCCCTCTCTGGCTGCCCCAGCCCCAGTGGTGCTGCCAAGGGTGCCTGTGCTTAGCGCAGGCGCTTTGGCAGCTGCCCAGGGCTAACAAAAGCTCCCCTTGTCCAACACAAAACAGCATTATTCCCCAAACTTCTGGGCAAAACACTGCTGAGGTCCAAGAGGACAAAGGATGCCTGGTGATGTGGTGGTGGAGAGGCTCTGTGTGCCCAGCTCCATGCTCTGGTGAGGGTGACTGGTTTGCGAGGGTTGCTGGGTGCACGGGCAGGGCTATGGGCAGCAGAGATGCCCAGAATTGAGGGGAGCTGGGCTTTTACTGGGTCCCTGGGAAAGGAGGGATGCAGTCACCCTAGAGTCCTCACAAAAAAATTGTGCATGGTTTGCCCACAGCCCACACAAGGAGCATCTCCAAGCCCCTGTCCTACAGCAGAGTGGGTCCCAACTTGGAGGGGCACCATGGGGGGACCCATGGGTGGGTCAAAGCCCTGACCTGGGTCTCCTGCACCTTCCCTCCTGCTGCCCCTGGGTGGGTCTTGGGGAGCTTCACAGCTGCTCTTCTGTTGGCACGGAAACTCAGAGAAGCCAGCAAGGGACAGACCCAGCAGTGTACCATGAGGCAGCACAGTCCTGGAGACACTGTGGCAAAAATCCTCCAAGGACCCAGTGCCTGAAGCCCAAGGCCCAACCCCTCCCTGGTCTACAATCTCCAAAGACCTTGTGGCCCATCTCCTCTGTGGACAAAGGGTCCTGAAGACTTGGGAACATGGAGCCCTGAGCACCTCTCAGGGGACTTCCTTGCGGGGTGGCCAAGCTCCTGTCTGTATGAAGTCATCTGCAGATGGCAGTACTCACACACATGCATCTCTCTGCTCTGCGCTGGTGCTGTCCAGCATTCCTGATGGTCTCATGGCCTGACCCCTGGCCTTGATCTCTGCCCAACCCACCCAGGCAGCACTGGCCCTGGCTCCCTGCCTGGCTCAGAGCCATGTCCCTTAGGCCACAGGGTCAGGGCCTTTGGATCCACTGGCTGCAAGTCCTCCCAGGGCATTGTCCCTGCACACAGGGTGTCCTGGGACAGCACCCACACATGACAGCTATTAAGTGCCAAGGAAAAGCTCCCTGCTGCTCTACCAGCCATCCTGAATACCCTATGGAAATGCTGTCTCCAGTGCTGTCCTCCATGGAGGAGAATGGCCCCAGCCCATGTGGCCTCAGGTTCTCCAGCTATGGGGCAGCAGCAGGATGATGCTGAATGCTCCAGCCAGGAAGGGACTACTGCCCACAGACAGCAAGGCTAGGGCAGGCAAGGCTCAGAATGGTGCCCTGGGAACAGACTGTAGTATCTGGGCTCTCAATCATGCAAAGGAAGAAATGCAGAAAAGGAGTGAGAAAAGATGACAGGAAATGGACATGACTGCAGAAGAAGGAACACCCTCCCTTGGGGCTGCAGTTGGCCTTTGAGGGCTCCTGGGGTGCCACTGAAACCACAGAGCCCTGCTATACTGTGGCATGGTGGCATGGCATTGTGCCCAACAGGGATCCCAAAAGGCTGGCAGCCAGCAGGAACGAGGGTGCAGATCCCAGAGGTACTGGAGCAGCCTGAGAACCCCCAGGGAGCAGTTTGGAGCCCTGTTCTCATCTCTATGTGTGCCAAGGTGTATGGCACACCCTTGCCAGCTTCAGGGACAGTGCTGCACACCTCGATGCTCCTCTCCTTGCCTCTGCCTCAGTTTCCCCATATCATTTTGCCTGCCAGGGCTTTCATGGAGACTTGGATTCTGAACAGCAATGCCAGTAAAGGACAAAACTGAGCCAGAGAGCAGGGCGGAACTGGGGCAGGGGCAGAGAAGGCAGCTCTCCATGTCACACTGCTGAGGCTCACATGTGCCTGCTTCCCAGACAGGACAGTGCCCAGAGCTCGGTGGCACTTTGGGGCTGTTCGTTGATGGTTTCAGGATGAGTCAGTGGGAGTTGATATCCTGTTTGCAACCAAGCTGTCAGTGGCAGATGGCTGGCACCTTGTCAAGGCTGAGGGCACCTACCTAGCCATGGGGCACCCACCTTGTTCTGGGCCATGAACCCGCTATGGGGTGCCCATTTGGCCAGAAGGTACCCACCCAACCATGGGGCACCCACCCAGTCACAGGGTACCCACCCCCAGCACAGTGCAGGGGAAGTGCTGGGAGCGGGGTGTGCCAGCTGACACGTGGGGCAGGAAGGACCTGCTGTGGGGCTGGGACAAGGCAAAACTGAAAAAAGAGGAAGCCCTTGAGTGCCCCAGCCCAGCCCAGCAGGACCCAAGCAGACGAATCTGGCACCTTGCACACCTCCATCACAGTAAGTCTGAATCCAACACTACTGACCACCAAGGGGAGAGGGGCTGAGAAATGGCGTGGCCCCTGCCACTGCTAGAGCAGGGGTTTTCCTTTCAGAGCATCCCCAAAATGGGGGCAACATCCCCAAAACAGAAGCAACATTCCTGCTGCTGGGGACAGAGACCTGCAGCACTGATGTGCAGTGCAGGGAACCAGCAAAGCTTTCCCAGCCCTTTCTGCTTCCCATGCCAGATTTGTCTGGAGCTTAAAGTTATCTCATGCATTTTAGCAGGACAGATGGAGTGGGCCAAGGTGGGGAAGGGATTTTCTGCAGCCAAGCTGCAGTGCTGCGGTGGGTGGGAAAGTAGGGCACTGCTTTCCAGGAGACCCCAGTACTGGAGGCACTGGCTCAGCTGGCAGCAGAGCTCAGGCAGCCCACATGTTTCCAGGGGTTTCCACAAAAGGAGAAACTACCTGTGGTGCTGAATGCTCTGAGCCCTGCCGTGGGACGAGCTCTCCAGAGGGGGCTGAGGCTGGTGGCTGGTCCCCAGTGCAGCCAACCTTCTCCCTGTCCGCCTCCACCACTGCTCTGCTCCCAGCAGTGCTGCTGGTTAACCACAGAAGCCTGACACAGGCAGATGGGCACCCTGGCAGAGTGAGCTTCCCATGGTTGGGGGGCCCATGTGCCTGCAAGCTGAGCCCCACCAGTGGCAGCCCCAAGTGCTGCACTGTCCTCCTTGCTCTCCCTGTCCTCCCTCCCCTCTGTGCCCACACAGCGGGGCACTGGCCATCTGTGACATCCAAATACAAAATGTTAATATTTGGGCCCCAGCCTGGTGGGGCTCGTCATGCCCTTGGGGACTGGGGAGGACACCTCAAGCCTGGGAATTTTCTTGCCATTGTCACAGGAGAATGCTGGTGAGTGGGCACTTCTTGGGCAGGACACTGCCAAACTTGTCCTTCACCAGAGATTTGGACTTCAGAGTCAGTCACCCCATTTTGCAGCTAAGGTGCCACCATGGGGCTATTCTGGTGGGACTGGGACATTCCCTCTTGTCCTTTGGTGCACAGCAGTGGCAAGGCTGGCTGTGTATCAGGTTTGTCCTAATTTGGGCAAAGAAGGACTGAGATTGTAGTTGTGTGTCAGGTGGGGAAACTGAGGCACAGAGCAAGCAAGGATTGCTTGTAGTGGGGCCAGCCAGGTGGGGTGAAGGGGCACAGGTGGCTACTTCCCATCAACTCTGAACTTCCCAGCAGCATTTGTGCTCCCCCAAAGGTCACAAGGGACTACAGGGGCATGAACAAAGGCCACCCTGGGGCGACACCACATGCATGGGGAACTCTGTGGTACAGGGAAGCAGAGGGTCCTGGGGTGATGCTGAGGTCCAGGTTTCATGAAGAAGCCCTTTCTCTGGCCCCTCTGGCCACAGTGCCTCCCCATCACCCCTCATCCCTGCTAAGCCAAGCTGATGGTTCTTGGTGGCCTCTTCTCTCTCACAGGTGTCAGCTCTGTCACCCGATGAGGTGACAGCCAACCCACCAGCATGCCCTGGGCATTGCCGCTGCGATGGTCACCATGGGGACGGCCTGGTGTGAAAGCCTTGGTCACTGCTGGGGTGTTTGTAACCACCCTCTGGAACCTGAGGTTCTTCTTCAACCCGTCCAAGGGCTCTGGAGAGGACTCTAAACACAGGGAGCCATTAGTGATCCTGGTGTGGGAATGGCCCTCCAAGCAGGTCCCCAGTGTCAGCAGAGATGTGTGCCATGAGCTGTACAGAATCACAGGCTGCCAACTCACCACAGAGCGGCAGCTCCTGCACCAGGCCGATGTGGTGGTGTTCCCCCATTCCAGGCTCCAGCCTGGCCGGGACAAACTACCCAAGGAGAGGCTGCCAGGGCAGAACTGGGTGTGGGTCTCCCTGGAGTCCCCCTCCAACACTAGAGCTCTAGAGACATGGAACAAGACCTTCAACTGGGTGATGACCTACAGACAGGATTCGGACATCTTCATCCCCTATGGCAAGCTTGTGCCCAATCAGTCAGGCACTGTGAACATCCCTGCAAAGACCAACTTGGTGTCCTGGGTTATCAGCAACTACCACAGGACTCAGAAAAGAGCTGAAGTCTACAAAAACCTCTCCAGGTACCTCCATGTGAATATATATGGGAAAGCAAACAACAAACCCCTCTGCAAGGACTGTCTCTTGCCAACAATATCCAAGTCCAAGTTCTACCTGGCTTTTGAGAACTCCATCCACCGGGACTACATCACAGAGAAACTCTGGAGGAACTCACTGCTGGCTGGCAGCGTGCCTGTGGTGCTGGGGCCCCCCAGGGCCAACTATGAGCAGTTTGTTCCTGCGGACTCCTTCATCCATGTCAACGACTTTGGCTCCCTGGAGGAGCTGGCCACCTTCCTGAAGACCATGAACTCCAGCCGCTACCGGCAGTTCTTTGCCTGGCAGAGGAAGTTTAGTGTGAAACTCTACACCGACTGGAGGGAGCGGATCTGTGCCATCTGCACAGCCTACCCCCGCCTGCCCCATGGCCGCCTCTATCCTGACCTGCAGAGCTGGTTCAACTCCTAGTGTGTGCTGGGACCCTCGGGATGAATGCAGGCAGCGTGGGAGGTACACGAGGCACCCACCTGCACACAGGATGTGAAGCAAGGACAGGAGCCCCCACTCTTCTCCTAACCCAGCTGTTGTCACGCTGTGACTTCAAGCAACTCCCTATGACTTCATTTCTTATGAAACAGGACTTATCACCCCAACCTAACACCGAACACATTGCCAGGGTGCTGGCAGGACCAGAAGGTGCTTTGGAAATAAATGGCACAGTGTATCTGAGGCTGTGCATGTAGTGGGCAGGGCAAGGGGGTGGTGGGTGGCTCAGGGCTCCCCAACCTTCCCCTGTGATCCTCAATTTCCCCCCAACACCTGCTGAGTGCCAAAGTCCTGGCAGCAGAGGTCCTGTGGTGACATTTGTGGCTGGGCTGGAGGAGTGGGCGTCAGCCCAGGGGGGTCAATTTACCCCATGGCCAGGGAGGAAGGACAGCATCTGCTCCCCCTCTTCCTGGCAACACCCATTTCCTGTCCCCCACCCCTGAGCCGTGGGTGCCACTGTGCCAGTGAGAAGCCACAGGGCAGCGGATGCTCTCAGAGCAATCTCAGTGCTGCCAGGCAGGCAGAGGGACACTGTAGTTTGTCACTCCCTCCCTCCTGTGACAGGAAGCCAGTGAGCTGACAGCCTCTGGAAGCTTGCACAACCCAGAAGCAAAGCCAGTCCCATGGGCAACTTGCATATGCACGCATTGCACTGGGGAAACCCTGCACCACGGGCACCCTCCAGACCCAGCACAGAGGGCAGGAGGGCACCCTGCACCATGGGCATCCCAAGAGGAAGTACCCGTCTGGGATCAGTGGTGCTGTCAGGGCTGAGTGACAGGACAAGGGGTAAGACATGACTGCTCCATCTGTGCCTTGCTCTTTGCCCCTCTACTCAGTGACATCAACTCCTTTGATATAAATAATTCTTTTTGTCACAAGCTTCCTTTCCAGTTTTCTTCCCTGTGGCCCTGAAGTCACCAAACCCCATCTCTACACCCTGCAAGCAGCTGGGTGCCCAGGACTGAGAGTCAGCAGAGGGGACGTCCCTTCCCTGGCACAGCCCGGGTGAGGTGGCAGCTGGATGGGCACACTGCTCTTCTGACTTCTGTGGTTTCCGATTTCCGCTGTTTTCTGGGTCAACCAGAAGCGGAACAGGAGGGGCTGTGGGTGCCCACAGACAGATGCTGGGTACTCATGGGCAGGGGGTGCCAAGGTAGCAGGATGTGGGGGTCCCATGGTGGGCTGCAGCTCTTGTATGGCTGCATGCAGAAAACCAGAGAGTGGAAATGTGGAGAGAAGCAAACCTTTGGTGACAGATGACATCTGCCTCATATTTCTGCTCCTAACCCTGCCAGATTTCTGCACCCCTCAAGCGCCAGGCAGCACTGGGCAGCAGCAACAGGGGGCAGTTTCCAATGGATGCCACGTGTAGCTGTGTCTCTACCCTGTGGGTAGGCAAGTAGGAGACTCTGGGGATAAGCAGGGATGCAGAGGGGCCCTGCCCCATAAGGCTGGAATCTAGCCCAGCCCAGCCCTTTGCAGGGTCCTGAGGTGCCCTGTGAGCAGCTGCCTTCATTGCCCCTATTCCAGGGAGCCCTAGAGAGCAAACCTCCAGCTATCACCCACAAGCTGAAAAAACAGGGCTTTCCAAAAATTTCCCTACAGGCTTGGTTGGGGAAGGGGCTTCGGGGGAATGGACTGGGGGGGGCAAGCCAACTGAGAGTGTGGTGGGAAAAAGTGAAGGATCATCCCCCAGACATCCCTGCTCCCATCAGCTCAGCTCCCAGTGCTCAGTGGACCTGCATGGCTGGGTTGTTATCACCCCACCAGAGACTGCCTCAGCTAGACCAAATATATGGGAACATTCATCCCTCCCCTGTCAGCACCATAGTACAACGAGGACAGCCCCAGCTTTCCAGACCTCTTCACTGCCCACCCTGCTACCTCATTCTTAGTTCTTCTCTGTCCCTGGCAGCTGCTGGAGCAGCCTACAAGTAAGCTCACACTGCTTCCAACCTTCCCAGAAGCAGTTACAGCAAACCAGCAGCTTGGACTGGGTGGAAGATGACCCCCTACACTTTGAGAGGCAACAGCTCTGACAAGCTGATACCACTCCAGGGCGAAGCTGCCACCAGTCGTGGAGGGAGGCCAAGCCGCAGGCAGCCAGGAGAGAAATGTTGCTGGCATGATGTGGTGATGGGGACATGTCCACCTTCTTAGGGTGCCTTGCTCCAGCCCTGCTGTGCCCCTGCATGCAGCCAACCCTCAACTGCTGGGCTGCAGGAGCAGGGATGCGAGGAAGGCAAGGACAGGGTTAACTCATGCTTACCTCAAAGAACTCTGAGGTTTATTTCACTGCCAGAGGGAATGTGATTAAGAACAAAAAATAAAAAAATCATCATCATTAACTACAGAAGGCTGGAAGGCGAGGGGTGCTAGCAGCATGGACAGGGTGGAGTAGGTTCCCAGGGCTGGGCCCTCCAGGGAAAGGTGGTCTCTGGGCAGCTGGGCTGGGGTGGGGGACAGCGGCTGGAGAGCAGGGGGGGCCTGGGGGTGATGCTGGGCACAAAGCACTCGGGAGGACCCCCATCCCAAACAAGCAGTAGCAGCTGCCCCACAGAGCAGTGAAGCTCTCTTGTGCCACAGGGTGAGGGGGTGGTGGGGGGCTCACCTTCTCCCCTTGCCCCAGCCCTGGCTCATCCTGACCACCCAGGAGGGTGAGCAGAGCCACCAGAGCCATTGGCCCTGGGCATGGCACCCCAGCCCTTCTCTACATGACAGGAAGGAAGGAGACACCTGGGAAACTAGATCACTACAAAATGTTTTGCTTTTTAAAAACTACAACCAAAAACTTTAAAAAAAAAACAAAAAAAACAAAACCACCACCTCCCCCCACCCTTCCCAAAATCTAAAAAATACTTTTTTCTGCGTCTCGCAGGAGAGCGGCTCGGCTGCGGCCAGGCACGGGCTCAAGAGCCCTGGGCACATGTGGCTTCAGAGGGTGCAGTGGGGCAGGAGGAGCTGGCCCCAGGAGAGGCCAGAGGGGGGCCAATGCTGATGGGACCAGTAAGCTCACATAACAGGGAAGGGCTGGGAGCATCTGCAGAGAGCAGGCACCATCCCTGGGTCAGGCTCTCAGCCCCTCGCACCCCAAAAGCCGCACACATCAGCCCAGCAAGCAGAAGCAGGGCTATGCCTGTGTGAGCCAAAGGCAAGGGGGGCTGCCTCAGAGCACCAGCCCACCTGCAGTGAGCCCACAGCCCCTGGTTCAGTGGCCGCTGTTACTCATGGAGAGGCCAGGCTGCAGCGCTTGTGGGAACATCTCAGCTTTGTGGAAGGTCGGCATGTAGACAGGAGGGGAGGGTGCCAGGCTGTAGCCCTGGGACGTCACTGGGATGGGCAGAGTGGAGGGCACCAGGGGCTGGTTCATGTCATACATCATCCCCTCTGCCTCGTTGCCGTAGGGCAGCAGCAGCCGTTTGCCTTTCTGACGCCGGTTGCAGAACCAGACCCGGACCACCTGTGGGAAGGGAGACAGAGAAGGGTAAGGGGGTGACCCAGGCACACCATGTGGGTGACAAGGAGACCCTTCTGCTGGTGGCAGATCTCCACAGCACCCCAAACTGCCAGTGCAGCCCCCCTCCCTGTCACAACTCCTTGCTAGGCTCAGCTCAAACTTCAGCCATGAGCACTTCCCCACTGCTTCCAGAGTTGAGAGATGACAAAAATGGCAAATGTTAAATAGGAAAGAAGGTAACAAATCAAAAGAAAGGCTCCTCCCTCCCTAAAGGCTGGTAGCATAGCCAGATTAAGCCAGTACGCAAACTTGTGCATTGTTAGTGGGTTGTGGTTTGTCTCTTCTGGTGCATTTCCACTTCAGAAGAAAAACATTGTAACTATCCATGTGGGTTCTTGGGATCAAAAATCAGCTTCTTCAGAGATGAATTAGTATCAAAGAATTACTTTTATCGGATTACTTTCACATATTGATGTACATATACACAAACACGGATGCCTGTAGTTGGGTCTGGGAACTGTTTTTGTCTCTGAAGTTTTAAATATTTAATCTGTGAACAAAAGTCTTCTCTGGAACCAAGTGGGTTTTTCTTTTTCATATTGATAAGCCATACATATCCTAATTGTCTGGCACAGCTAAAGGGCAGTTGTTTACATCTCTTCATGTGTATTTCATTTTTGCTCTGAGCTAAAGTATCAAACTGTCAGATGCTCAGGAGCTGGCATTGTTAGGGCACCCATCCTCCCCACCCTCCCAACATACATCTTTATCCAGGTTGAGGTCCTCAGCGATCTGGGAGATCTCCTGGGGACTGGGCTTCACACACTTGCGGAAGAAGCTCTCCAGTGTCCCTTTCACGTTGGTCTCGATACTGGTCCTGCGTTTTCTCTTCCGGGCTTGGGCTAGTACTTGCTCTGCATTGCACATCTGAGAATGAGAGAGGGAACAAGTTTTGCTACCAGGTGGAAGAGTCTCCACCAGGCTTGGAACACGTGCAGCTGGCTGCAGAGCTTGAGGCACAGATTGTGTCCCTGTGACTCTCCACTGAGCATCATTCCACTGTGACTGGGGCCATTCCCAGTGTCCCAGCACTGCCAGCAGTGAAGTTGGACATATCTTTCTGCATCCCCCCCAGGTTCCCCAGGGAGTGGTAAGCTGCATAATCAGTCTGAGATTCCAGCAGGACCTGGTTACTCAAAATGGGAGCTTGTCACAATCACAACGTTTCTGCAGGGGGATTGGGCTTCCTCCCCCAGCCTGACAGAAAGCGATACCCAGTGGTTTGCCCTCAAGCCAAGCTCAAGCCATGCAGCAAGATGGTGCTGTGGCACAAGATGCCTTCTGTTCCCCTCTTCTCTCCCTGAAAGCACGTGGGAGAGGCAGTAGAATCTGTGGCTCAGGGCTTGCAGGTACCCGGCTCCCAGCCCCCTCAGCCCCGCACCTCTTGCATGTTGTCCGTGTTCTCCGCCTCATTGAGCCAGCGCTGCAGCAGCGGCTTTAGCTTGCACATGTTCTTGAAGCTGAGCTGGAGCGCTTCGAAGCGGCAGATGGTTGTCTGGCTGAACATCTTCCCTGCACGGCCAAGGCAGGCAGGGCATTACACACCACACAGCTTCCCTCGCCAGCAGCTCCCCAGGATCACCACCCCCAAGCTTGCCCTGCTCCTGTCACCAGGAAAGGCATTCTCCCTGTTCCTTCAACAGGGATTTAAACCCCAGAAATACGCTCAATAAGCAACTGTAGCTATTTTAAACCAGTTCCCTGTGAGCTCGAAGCTTCTATCTCACCGAAGCTTCTATCTCACCGCAGATCTGGAGATACCCCTCCAGGAGCCCCGGCCCTGGACTGGGGATTGATGCCTCCTTTGCAGCTCGTTAAGGAGCAGAAATCATTATCACAAGTGATTTCAAATCCCTCGCGGGCCTCTCCCTTCCCACCGGCTGTGGGGGCGAGAAGACGTTGCCGTAGAGGGTGCCCAGCGCCAGCCCCACGTCAGCCTGGGTGAAGCCCAGCATGATGCGCTTGTGCTTGAGGTCCTTGGCGAACTGCTCCAGCTCTCCTGAGGTTGGCGCATCC